GAGGGTTGGACTAGATGACCCACAGAGGTCCCTTCCAACCCCTATCATTCTGTGGTTATGTGATCATACTGCGTGTACCTGAAAATGTGTTGCTACCTTATACGTGGTCAGCTAAAACCAAGAGGCTTGTAATTATTCTTACTTGCAGTTATGCACTTTGCCTGCTTTGCACAGTGCTTTCAATCTAAATGCACAGAAATAATTTGGTTAGAAGGGTGAAGCACACGGATGAGTTGACTTGTGTTAGAAAAGGAGGGTTTTAGAGGAAGAACATTGTTAGAAGATGGGGAAGTACAATTTGATTCAAGCAAGAAGAATTGTGGTAAGGGCAGGTGGAATTAGCTGCTAAAGAAATGGGCTGAAATACATAAACAGGAAGATATGTACTGCAGGAAGGGCAAGGAAAGAGGTGCCGATGAGGTGGAGGTCAAGTGAAATGAAAGCCCTGCGTGACTGGGCACTCAAGGAAGGACTAGGGGAATATGATTTGAGTGTTGGAAGAAAGACTTGCAGTATTTTCAATGAGACCAGAGGACAGGAAAAATAGAAATATATAGTTGGCAAGAGATGCTAAGGTAAGAGGCAGCTTCAAATCCTACAAAATCCAAATTTGTTCTTCTTCCATTCCTTGTCTGGAAACCTGGTGGGAAGGTTGGAAGGACTCATGGGTGGGAATCAGATACGGTAGCATGACTGAGTGTCAGTGCTAAGTGATTGGTGCAGTGGTAACTGGTGACTATGACCGAGAAGTGGCCTTCTAGAAAGAAGGTTTCACCATGTTGAATGTGTTATTTGGCCAGAAGTTGAGAATAAGCTATAAGGCAGTATCAGCTGAAAATTACGCAAAAGTCACATAAGCTGTAGCAGTTTAATATATCTACTAAATATAAGTTGTCCATACTAAAATTGGAAACCTTATGACCATTATTTTCAATCATTAGCTTTTTTGGGTGCCTACAAGATTCAGCTTGAGAGGATATGGTCCCATCATCTTGCCAGGCCCTTTCAAGGAGTCTCAGCCTGAATGCTCTAAAAAGTGCATCCTCAAAATCTGCTATCCAGAAACACACCACATAAGAAGTAAAACTCTGCAAGTTTGCATCCTCAGTCTCCTCCAGGCTCTTTTCCCCTTTTTCCACTTTGGCACATGGAAATAGGAAAAATGCTGCAGTTTTTAGATCTGTCAGAGCCCATTCAGGATCAGGGTAACCCAGAAGTAAAGACTTCCTGATCCACCTTCTCTGGTCCCTTTTCTGAAGACTGACATGATAATAGTTGGTATTTGTGATTCTGATAGAGAAGTTTATTTTTTGATTTATTAGTCTTTTGGAGAATCCGAAGAGTATTAATTGCTAACTTACTGCTTTGGCTTTCTGATTTTATTTACCCAGAGGTTTTTTTGGGATGATATAAGCACCCACAGCCTAACTATATGCATTTTAAACAATTAACCTAATTAATTTCATGTTATAGTTCATTTAGACATCTTTTCTTTTTCCTAGGACAGTTACTTCTCCTTAGTTTCCCTATATGCCCAGTGCTCCCAAAGTAAGGAGTTGTTTTTTTCACATGTAGCAGATACATTTACATGAGCCTTTACTTACTTATTTTCATGTATGAGTCTGTTATCAATCTGTAAGTGGCAGCAAAAAGGTTGAGTGTAAAGATAAATAAATACACACAGGCCAATAAAATACCCTTGAAAGAAAACGTATCAAGCTTATCCAAATTCTAGTATTCTGAGAATTCCTTTGTTTTAGCTCAACTCCATCCTTGCTATTGTTTATACATACTTTGGGATTAAAAGATCTGTTGGTCTTTTCTGGGGCTTTGTGCTTTAGTGTAGCTTCAAACAACACTCAGTGTTGAGGGTGTTTTTGGGGAGGTTTTATCACAAATCAGTGCTGGGGCACAGCAGACCTAATGCCTGCAGCTTTCTGCAGTCATTTGTCCAGTAGAAGATGTAGGTAAAGATGTTGGCTGGGAAGCTGGGAAGCTCTTAGCATTCCCTGGCCTCTGCTTGCTGTTGAACTGATGTTTTTTGAATTTGCAGGGGGTAGAGCATCTCTGAGGAAAATGCCAGGGTTTGGGGTGAATGAATATGAATGTAGTCTTTATTTAGGGCATACTAGCTTTTTATTTTTTTGGTGATGTATGGATGCATATTGATTTTGATAGGGTAATACAAGGGATGAAGCTATCCTATTAAGTTTAGATGCAAGCATTGATAAGCTGTGACATAAATTTAGCAAGGAATATTCCACAAAACAAGGCAAGAAAGACAGATTGAACTACTATAATAGCAGGAGAAGAGCAAAAATTATTTGTTGAAAGCCCTTGCTAGCAATGCTGGAAGAATACCAAAACAAAAATAAACAGCAAAGAACTATTTTTACAACAGACATATTATTGTATTTTAGTTCATGTACTGTATTCTCTGTTGAAAATTTCTCTGTCTGGTTTACTTAGTATAAATGGATTTAGGCCGTGAGGATAATTCATCTGGGCAAAAGCTGGCACTAGCACAGTAAGAAGAAAAATGGGCAAGCCATAAACAGTTTCGTTTTAATTATTATATTCCTTGACACAGGACAATTTTTAAATCATGGCCAGTGTCAGACTGGGATAAAACTGGTCCAGGGTTATGTTTCCATAAGCATTGTCTTGCAAAACTGCCAAACTGTCTGCAGAATAGCAGTGTCTGATTCTGTATGTTCATCTTTTTTTTTTTTTTTTTACAGACACACTATGAAAGTGGAGAGTATATTATACGACAAGGTGCTCGAGGGGACACTTTCTTTATAATCAGCAAAGGAAAGGTAAGTTGACACCCTTCAAAGGCAGCTGGGATGACAGCAATGGTGGTGATGTGCTCTCAAAATGCAGTGCCAGTCAGCACTTTTTTTTCTCCCTGAGGCACAAATGTTGCAACACTTGACATTTAATTACACTTCTTAGCCCTCTACCAGTAGGGAAGAATGGCCTGAAGGGGAAAAAATAGATATGCTGTTTTGCACATGTGCTCACAATGAACACTTTGAGGTTGAAAACAGCTGTTGAGGATCTCAGTAAATTACCAAAAAGCTCTTTTTTTTAACAGTTTACCCTACAATACTCAATGTTTTCTTTGCTAAGTATCCCTCTTAGAACGATGACTTCCAGAATTCATTCCCATGGCTATCACTTCTCAGCTTCTCCAAATTAAATTATACGAAGCCAGAGAAATCTGTGCTCTCTCCATGGGGAATAAAAAAAATCTAATTTTCTGTTCCACTCCTCACAGGAAAAATATGCTGTTTTTACCTCTTTTCCCATAAAATCCTGATGGGATTTTATAGAATGAGTTTTTTCCTTCCACTCAACTTTTTTTAGGTTTTTTTTAGCTGGCCTAATACTATTACACTTGAGAAACATATGGCTTCTTTCCGTGTAGCAGGATGGAGCTATTCAAGGGAATATACAGTGATTTCCCGCTGCAGATGAAATGTGATACATTGAAAGTAAACACAATATTAATGTTGGCCTTGCATAATTAAGGGTAGCAAAAACCCCATGGCATCTGTAGAGGAAGAGTGTGGGTGTTGTACATGCTGTTAGGTTGTTTCCTGAGGCAGCTGTCAGCTCTTGGGAGCTAAAACTAGATATTCACCATTGTCTTCCACTCTCTATCTCTGGGAGCCAGTCTTCATCAGAAGAAAAAAAATGTTCTTTTTCAGATGAATAAGGTAGTCATGGACAAGTTTCTGAAATTAAGATAATCATGGACTGCAGAAATCCAAGTCTGATGGTATACCCTCATGCCCTTTCACTTCCCTCCACTCAGAAGTAATATTTCCTCTTGTCCTAAAATGAGGACCACCATGATACATGCTTCAAATCCTTTTTTTATGCCCTTTTTTAATGGGCAGAAATAATGGGAGAGTGCACCTTCCTCCCCCATCAAATATTTGAAGCCCTCCTTGCCATGTTGGCCAGCCTGTTGGCAACGTTGCTTCATCCCCAATTAGTCAGGAGGACCCTATCCTTCATAGCAGTCCTTGATCTCCAAAGAGACACCCTTGGTTGTAAAAACCAAATCTCTGTTGTTGACACCAGCTGGACAAACAGTTGTTGACTTGCATGGTCCATGCACTCCTCCTCAAGCTCTTAAACTTCGCCTGCAGGATGGAGGAGAAGACCACCCATGCCCTAGTCCATTGCTTCAGAGCCCTTGAGATGCTCCTTGGCTTTATCCTGCCTTTGCTACTTTATCTTGCTGTGACAGCTGATGGCCAGAAAAAGGAAGCTGAATTAAAACAACACACATGGGCTTGCTGAGAAATTCCCAGACCCTCAGCTGGATTCTGATGGCTTGACAGAAATTCCCACAGGGACAGTTAAATTCTGCCCAGTTTTCTCTTCCAAGCTTCCTGATTTGCAAAAGACGTATCAGTGACTGATAGAAGATGGACAGAGTTGGGGAGTGTTTAATTTTCATGCCTGTATTGGGACATAAGAGCTACACAGTGTATGTAAGGACTAACCCGTGCTAAGGTTACAGCCCAGGAGAGGAGGAATAGAGCCTTAGCAGTGAAACATGGAATAAATAGCAATGAAATACAGAATTAACAAATCAATGTATGCTGCCTGGGACTTGCTGAAGCAGGAGCACATAATGTCCCATGCTAAAATCCAACCCAGGCAGCTTAATAAGTCAGAAAAAATGCTGGCTGCAGCTCATGTACTTTGGACCTCACATTGACTTTTTGCATTCAGCAGCATCGTGTGAGTATTTTCAGCAAGAGCTATTTGTAAAAGCTCTGCCTTGCCTTTTATGTCAGTGTGTCTGTGACAGTCAAGTGCATAGAGAAGATTTTTTACATTTCTGAGCCCAGCACTTCTCTCAGAAATGCTTAGAAAGACTTCTGCTCTGTTTTCTTGCAGCCCATGCTCCATGGATAGCTCTTTTAGGAGCGAAGTCATATTTCCCCTTTTTCTCCATCAACTCCATCCACTGCACTTGATCCCACTCCTGAGCTCATTTAGTTTATTTATTTTGATGTGTTTCTGTGAGTACAAGTGAATAGAAATCAAAAGTGTGTTCAAAACACCCTACATGCAGAAATCTGTTGAGTAATATGTCAGATGAAAACAGCTTGGTCCCTTCCGCTTGCTGAGTGCTGCTGCTCCGTGCCTGTTCTGTACCTTGACTTTACTCGGAGACAGGGTGTGCAGTGCTGTGCTATTGTACATCATTTTCCCTTTAAAAGGCATGTCGTGGCACCAATTTAATGCTGGCTCATGTGGGTTGTTCATTGGTGCTGTGGCTATTCAAATGGCTCACTGCATTGGACCACACAGAAATCACACTCCCATAATCCCTTAGCACTCATTGCTTAGGATCAGCAGAGGTCGTGGAGGAAGAGCTTAAATCTTCATTGAAGTTTCCTTTGTTCAGTTTTTTTTGTCATCTGCTACAAGTGTTCCTGGCTTACCTGTTATGTGTTCACTACTCTCATCTGATCTTCGATGAGTCACTGCGGATATTAAATGTAGTGTGGTGTAGATTGAATGCTCATTAAAGACTCAGACCCATTGGTTTTACCATCTATAAAAGAGATAGGAAAAGGTGCAGGCCACATTTGTAAATTTAATAGTGAAATTAAACTGGAATGTCTCAAAATCTGAAAGGAGGTGTCTGACGTCCCAGATTTTGGCTTTGTGAATTTGCATACGCAAAATCTCTGATTAAAGCTGAACAGCCTGAAAAGGAGAAGCAGATGAGACATTTTCCCGTGTATGCGAGATGTCTCCAGATTGTTGCCCATCCCAATTAAATTTTGGACAGCTCAGGTTTTGGAAATGCCTGTCCCTCTCCACCAGCCATAGACAGAGCCTGGAGAACTAAATTTATAGATGGTAGAGCTGATCCTCACCATGCACTGATAGCAGGAGGTTGTATTTCACCTGCCTTCTTGTACCGTAAGAGGTATGAGTTACCTCTGAGAACAGCTGAAGAGGAAGAAATATTTCTCATAGAAGGCCATTATGTCAAAACCATTCATCTCTCATGGAGCCCTTTGCATCCTTGGTATGTCATGCCATCTTCAGCACCCAGTGAGATGTTAGGGCCTTTGTCATTACATGGCAGCTGGGATTTGTATCCCATACTGGCACAAGAAACCAGAGCCAAAAGTTTTAAGATGATCAATTACTATTTTTCTTCTGAAATCATTGCAGAAAATAAAAAACTCCCCTCCCCCCCCCCCCCCGCGAGGAGTCATCTTACTGTTGTTGCAGTGCTAGCTTCTTCAACATAGGGCTTACACTAGGTTATACTACCCATGGTTTTATAGTGGGTAGAAAGTCTGCTTTCCATCAGCAGTGATTGATTTTCTCTTTCACTGCAAAAAACAACAAATTAAAAAATAAGATGGTATTTTCTTTTAAACGTCAATGAAAATACTTGGTTTTTACTCCAGCTAGTTACCTCCTCTCTGAATTTGAGAGAGTAAAAAAGAGATATCCTTCATCCTGTAATGCTCCAAACTGTTTAATTTCAGTTGTGTCTAAATATAGATTATTTTTGTTATTCCTTTCCCTTAAGCAAATTTAGCAATGCAAGAAATCATGTGGAACAAAACTAACAGAAGCCTATGCCATGTGTCTGTCTGATGCGCAGAAAATATTTGGAACTTATTTCTGCTGCTGACTCCATACAGGCAATGACTGTGCTTGTGCAGCCAACTCCATGTTTAGAGTTAAAAACCTTCAAAAAACCACAAGTATTGCATTTTTGCAAGAGTAGTAGGTACCTCAGTGGAAAAGAACTGCTCATTTTCTTGAATGGTTGGTTGGTGATGCTGAGGGAAGAGTGCAGGACTCTGGAGAATTATGTGGTTCCCAGAGGAGATATGAACCAGAGCTTTTCCTGAGAGTTCTGGGAGACGACGAATTCCTCTCTGAATAAACAGGTTTTATTTGTTAATTAAAAGTTTTCTAAATGCTGGGGGTTTTGGCTTTTTGACAGGTGAATGTTACTCGTGAAGACTCCCCCAGTGAAGATCCGGTCTTTCTCCGTACTCTAGGGAAGGGAGATTGGTTTGGAGAAAAAGCCCTTCAAGGGTAAGTGCTCCTTATGATGTAGCTCTTACGTTGAGATAATATTTCAAGGACTTTTGCAGCCTTCAGAGGGCTTTTGCAATTTGGAAAGAGATTGGGACTGTGTTTATGCTTTTGGAGTCAGACTTTGTTACTTCGTGTTACGTGTTGCAAGGAGGCTGCACCTTCACGGGGAAATAAGGTTTGTTCTTCAGTTGAGTGGCCCAATGTAGATCTTCCTGTGTTTGTAGACATCAGAAGATAGTTTACACTGTCTTCTCTGAACATGCATTTGAAGATCAAACTGTTTGATGTTTTGCAACTCTGGAGTTTTTTTCATGTACAGGAAAAGCGTAATTATGGTCTTCTTGATCGGGTAGACGGCTGAAGGCAGGATGGTGGTGGTGGTTTTTAAATTGTCTTATTGTGTATATGTGATTTTGGTGGAGGTGGGAATTGTATGCAAGTGACCTGTTTTATATAAATATTTTGCTTTGGCAATGAACTAAAAGAAGAGAAACTGTAAATCCATATTCAACAGATGACTATTATAAAAAGATGCTTTATTTCCTTAGGGAGGAATAAGAATAGGAATAGTAAAACATGTGCTTTAGGCAGGAATTTGGGGCACCCATCCATCTTAATGGATAAGTACTCATCCCATCCTGGGTTATCTCCGTATAAGAGCTATTGGGCTTCTCTCTGATGCTGTGATAACGTGTTCAATCCCTCCTCAGTTGGTCGTCTTCTTCCAAAAAGAAGGCAGAATATGTGAAGGGCAAATTTTATCTCGCTTCTTGGCAGCCAGGAAGATGTATCCAGCACAAGACTCAAGTCTGGCCCCTGCAAATCTATACCTTAATTTTAAAATAATATGGTTATTAAATAAATGTCCTTATTTCAGTTACTTTTTTAATATTAAGATGGAGATGAACTCTAATTTTAAATTTTCCCCCACAGACACATAAGATAGAAACACTTTTTTTTAAATTTGTTTAGAGCCTCATGGACACTTGACTCTCAGAGCTGGTACTTTTTTAAAACAGCACCAAATATATCGTGGCATCCGCTCTAATAGTGAGAGCAGGCAACAGTGTGCCAAACAAAATCGTCTTCAGAAGAAGACCCAATATGGGAAACAAAAGGAATTTCCTTCCTTGCATCCCTAAACAGTTCTAGGGGCATGCAGCACCACCGTGATGAGAATTTCTCAGCATTTTAAATACAGTATTTTGGCTGACTGACTCAGACTGAGATTAGTTAATTTACAATAAATACTTGTTTGCATATATTGAAGTATTCAGTACGTAATAACTTTGATCATCTGAAACTACGCAGAAACTTAATAAATGAGAGTATGTTCTCAACATGCAAGGCAAGCATAATACTGGCATATTTTTTTGCTAGGGAGACGACATACCTGAAGTACCATACTTCCACTTTGCTAATAAGCTCAGTAGTTCTGTAGCTAGATTTAAATTGAGTAGTGTAAAAATATTGTAATGTAAAGCATCCAGCAGCTCAATAAATTGCTAATAAATGAGTATCTTTCAGGACTGTCTAAGACATCACTTCAGCATCTTGGGAAACCTGTAGGGTGTTTCTACTGCTGTAAAGTACAGTTATGGCTGGCAGCACAAGATAAAATCAACTTTTTGATGTATTTTCTTTGCTTTTTCCTCTGACTAATTTTTCAAAACTTTTCTGGGACTTACATAACAATACTTAATTACATGCTGTTAAATCATGTTGTGGTTTCATATGTGTAAGGGTAATGACAACTAAAGGACATTTCTTCCTGATGATATGAAATAATAGTTGCAGTGTTCATTCAGTGTAGTGCTGCACAGCAGGAGGAGGGATAACGAAGATCTTCTAGTCTCTGACAGAAATGTGTGTACTGACATGTACATTGGGTCAATGATATACATTATTCTGCTTTTCACTCTCGCACCAGGTGGCATGCATTATTTCACAGTATCCCATTGCACACCAGCAGGAGCAAAACAAGTCATGAAATGATCAGCCACAACATCTTACAGTAATACTCAAGGCTCCCAACTGTTATGCTGTTCTCTTACCTTCCTGGCTAATTGGCGCTGAGACAGCAGATGTATAATTTATGGTACAACAATACATAATTTACAGCATACTCACAATCAGTTATTTTTGGTGATGTTTTCTTAATTGGAAAGAAAACATTTTAGAAGGCTGTTTACAATAATAATGTCTATCAACAGGGAAATAATTAATTCAAGTAAGCAAAGGGAAACAACTCAATGCAACTTTGTGGCTCACATACAAAAACTAGCTAATAATAATGGTGTGCTGCCTTTATGGCATCACACAGCTGAATCTTTGCACGACAGCGTCTGTCTGGACCACAGCACATCCTCATCCAGAGATGTTTGTGGAGCGGCCGTCCATCCATCTCATTGAATGGAAAACATGGTTTAGTCCGCAGTGGACAGTCTTATGGAAAAAAATGGGGGCAGAAACAAGGACAGAAAAGCAAATCTTTAGGAATGTAAGAGAAGGCTTTTTCTGCTTCAGAAATTGTGTTTCCCATAGCCCAACCAAAAAGAGGAACAGTTTGAGCCATTGCCTCCTTACATGATGTATCGCATCATATATAACGTTTAGGTAGAGCTGTCATTTCGGGGTTTCACCTGGTTTTGAGGTCCAGGAGGAGCTACAGATCATGGGGCAGAAGAGTGGTGGCACATGGCAGAGGCAGTGGCAGAGCCCACCTCGGTGAGCAGGAAAGACGTTTTGAAAGAAATGTCATTCATAGTGCAGTTCATAACACTTTGACCAAACTGACCAACTCCAGAGGTCCAGTAAGTGGGATTTTCTGGTGAGTGCATTGGCTTTTAGAGAAGGGGATTCCTAAAAACTCAGCAGCCTGAAGTCTCCTGGAGATGGCAAGAGAGGAAGAATTTGGGAGAGTAGCTCATGTTGAAGCGGACACAGGACTTGCCCTGGGCTCCACAACATATGTATATCTATTTAATGTATCTGTGTTTAAATATAAATGCTGGCAGTGCATTGTAGTGAAAAAAAAGTAATGGAAATATGGATGCCAGGCTTTGATTTAAACTTATGCAAATACATGAAGCGGTTTTAGCGAAGATGTTTTGTGCATAGTAAGATGACAATGGCAACTTGTTTTAAGGCTGTTTTACTGTATTTCTAAGCTGTTGTCTTTGAGAAGAGCATTTTTAAAGCAGTTACCAGAGGAGGTAGCTACTTCAGTGTGGCTGGGGTGGACACTGGTGAGGCAAAACAGTGTTACGGAAGCACAGTTTGATCTTGAAAGCAGCTTAGTTTGCTCATTTGTCCATGTGAGCTGTCTTTGAAATAATGAACTTATTTGTTTTTCACTTAGAGTTTATCATCTTCAGTTGTGTTGATTTATAGATCCACATGGGCATGTATTTGCAATGTAATTAAGCCACAGCAAAACACATTCGCTTGAGCATGAGCAAAACCAGAGCAGTGTGACAGCCAGTTTGAGGAGATAACAGCATCTTGGAGACCGGTGTGAATGATTTTAGGGCATGGCATATGGAAAAGATGTAGGAATTTGGGAAGCCTTGCTGCCTCCAGGGTTGTGGTGGGTCAACTCGCGGATGGGACCACCAGAGGAAGCTCCTGCTTGGCACAGAGAGCCCCGGCCAAAGGGTGTCCTGCCTTTGTCCTCTCATTTGTAAAGAATGAAATACAGACTTTTTTGTTTATTATTATTTTTTCAAAATATCTTCTTCACATGGGGTGAAGAAGAAATTGTGGTCTTTGGGTCGTGCACAAAGTGCTCTGTTGTAGTGACAGTTAATAATGATATTTGAGCTACAGTAATAGATTTATATAAATTTCTTACCTGTTTCGTTTCTGGTTTTCCAGAAATTCTTTTCCCCAGTTGCTCGCTATTAACTTTTGAAGGACTACAGATATTTTTTCGCTCTGTTCAAATGCTGGGGAAATAAGATTGATTCTTAGCAGTTAGAAAATAGCTAATTTGGTAAATGGTAAAATGGATTTGCATGCTGGTGTCTTCAAATGTTTTTTATTTTGCAAGATGCACACACAGTGCCCCATACACTTCACAGCTGCCTTGGCTTTCCAGGGAATGAAAAGTGCAGGCTGGAGTGGCTTTTACTTTATGTTGTTATAATTTTTTTTTTTTTCCTGTAAAATGGATGCCGCTTCTCAGACCGATCTTCATTCTTGCAGTAAAACAGGGTATTTTTCACGCTCCCTTGCTGTCAGACATTGCGTGTTCTTCCCTTTCATTTGACACACATAGATTTCTGCTCATTAGAAATCACCTGTTGGGAGGTATCTAACAAGTTTCAATTTACTGTAATTTATTTTGTTTCATTTAATTTCTTTCAGCCCTTGCTATGCCTGAACAGTTGTGTCTAGAAAAGCTTTTTCAGTGTCCTTGACTGAACTTCTCGGTGAACGGTGATGCTTCATCTTCATAGGACAGCTTCCTCTAGATACTGTGCTTCCACCAAAACCTTGCCATGTGGTGACCTATTAACCTAATTGTCTTGATTTTTCTTGGTAAGAGAGAATGGGATGGAGAATTTGAAATGTTTATTGCTCTGTGACATAGAGCAGCAAAGACTTTCAAGGCAGTCACACAAGTATATACATGGCAAACAGGAGTCTCATCTCAGGCTGGCATTATATATATATAAATATATTTTTAAAAAATTGTGTATGTGTATATGTATAAAAAAGAGAAATACATATTCTATAAAATATTATAGTTTAATTTCTTTTTCTCCAGGGAGAATTACTAGTCTTTCTGTTGCAATCAGTGTGTT